ACATTTCAGTGCAATAAATAATCATCAACAACTAATAATCTGAGTTAGCACATACATTTAGATCTACACTCACCGGCCACTTTATTAGGTACACCATGCTAGTAACGGGTTGGACCCCCTTTTGCCTTCAGAACTGCCTCAATTCTTCGTGGCATAGATTCAACAAGGTGCTGGAAGCATTCCTCAGAGAGCTTGGTCCATATTGACATGATGGCATCACACAGTTGCTGCAGATTTGTCGGCTGCACATCCATGATGCGAATCTCCCGTTCCACCACATCCCAAAGATGCTCTATTGGATTGAGATCTGGTGACTGTGGAGGCCATTTGAGTACAGTGAACTCATTGTCATGTTCAAGAAACCAGTCTGAGATGATTCCAGCTTTATGACATGGCGCATTATCCTGCTGAAAGTAGCCATCAGAAGTTGGGTGCATTGTGGTCATAAAGGGATGGACATGGTCAGCAACAATACTCAGGTAGGCTGTGGCGTTGCAACGATGCTCAATTGGTACCAAGGGGCCTAAAGAGTGCCAAGAAAATATTCCCCACACCATGACACCACCACCACCAGCCTGAACCGTTGATACAAGGCAGGATGGATCCATGCTTTCATGTTGTTGACGCCAAATTCTGACCCTACCATCCGAATGTCGCAGCAGAAATCGAGACTCATCAGACCAGGCAACGTTTTTCCAATCTTCTATTGTCCAATTTCGATGAGCTTGTGCAAATTGTAGCCTCAGTTTCCTGTTCTTAGCTGAAAGGAGTGGCACCCGGTGTGGTCTTCTGCTGCTGTAGCCTATCTGCCTCAAAGTTTGACGTACTGTGTGTTCAGAGATGCTCTTCTGCCTACCTTGTTTGTAACGGGTGGTTATTTGAGTCACTGTTGCCTTTCTATCAGCTCGAACCAGTCTGGCCATTCTCCTCTGACCTCTGGCATCAACAAGGCATTTCCGCCCACAGAACTGCCGCTCACTGGATATTTTTTCTTTTTCGGACCATTCTCTGTAAACCCTAGAGATGGTTGTGCGTGAAAATCCCAGTAGATCAGCAGTTTCTGAAATACTCAGACCAGCCCTTCTGGCACCAACAACCATGCCACATTCAAAGTCACTCAAATCACCTTTCTTCCCCATACTGATGCTCGGTTTGAACTGCAGGAGATTGTCTTGACCATGCCTACATGCCTAAATGCACTCAGTTGCCGCCATGTGATTGGCTGATTAGAAATTAAGTGTTAACGAGCAGTTGGACAGGTGTACCTAATAAAGTGGCCAGTGAGTGTATATAGATATATTCTGATCTATATCTGCTCTGATGAGCGCGTTTGGCACGCGTTTCGACACACAACATGACCGAATCAACACAGCTGAAACTGCATTAAATTAAATATCTAGTAAATAAACACACATGATGAAGTTAACAAGATATGTGATTCGTCTCCCTCCTTTTCTTTCTTCCTCTTATTTCTCACGCAGCTCAACCTGGACATGTCTCCGTGTCCTCTCTCCATCCTGCAGCGGCTGAACAGATGATTTGTTTCAGTGATCAGGGGCCTTATGTATCAATACTTGCGTGGAACTCATACCAGAAACGAGCGCACGCAAGGTCCGTAACGCTGAAAAAAACTGTATGTATCAATGTGTGTGGGCGCCGAAATCCACGTGTGTTTCCTTGATAAATCCCAATCAGCGTGGAATTGAGCACAGATGTCGGAGTGACTGGGCCCGTCCCCATTACGCCCTCCTATAAATATGCAGATTTATTTAAATAGGGTCTCCCTGTCCTCGCACGCAGACAAAATGACAAGAAAAACTAAATTTACGGCGTGTGAGGTGGAGGTGCTGGTGGCGGAGGTGGAGGAGCGACAGCGTGTTTTGTTTGGCAGCCTGTCCAGTCAGTGGACAGTGACACTGTCCAGTCAGTGGACAGTGGCGTCAGTGCAAAACAAAAACGCTTGGAGTGGGAGAAAGTTGGCGAGAGGGTGAATGCGGTGGGTTCCGAGACACGCACCCCCGCGGAGATTAAAAAAAAGTGGTCGGACCTCAAGGTGGAGGTCAAGCGGCGTACAGCTGCCCTCCGGAGGAGTACTGGCCAGACAGGTGGGGTTCCGGGGGAGGAGACCCTCACGCCGTTTGAGCAGCGGGTGGTGGTGATTATTATTATAGGGTAAGTGGCGTGTCACACAAATGTCCACATGCTTTGTCATCCCACGGAGCAAAAGACGTATATTAGACGTCTAGTCTAAGTTTATACTTCATTTCAACGTCGGGATTCAGTCTATTTTTAGACGTGATTTATACTTCGCCCTTTACTTCATTTTTCGATAACTTTTTATGCAATAAACAACTGTAATGTGCATAACTGACCTCTAAATACTGGATTACATTACCTATGATACCGTGGAGAGAGATGTAAACGCAACAGATACACAGAAGCAGGAATTGAAATGAACAAATATTTTTATTGTGTCACAGAAATCAATATGTCGCCGGCTTGCGGAACCCCGGCCCGCGGCAGCCCGTCCGCCGGCTCGGAGTCGTCGGCCAGGACCAGCGGCATTCGGGCCACCCCAGCCCCCGGCCCCAGCACCAGCACCAGCATCAGCACCAGCGCGCCGACAAGCGGTGGAGCGTCCACCAGCCGCAGCGCTTCCGCTGGACCACCCGGACGCAGTGGAAGGGTCCTCGCGAAGGGGGTCCTGCAATCGCAGGAAGAAATCATCAGGGGGATCGCGGGGATCAACGAGCGGCTGGACCGGCTCGTAAATGTCCTTGAGCGTCTGGTGGAGAAAATAAATTAATTTGGCTCATTGAACTGTGTATTCACTTCTTACCCATTCCCACTGTGGCGATGAGATTCTCCCGCGCGAGGACGGCGGCCCGGCAGATCAGCTCGCATCCCTCCGTCTGCTGCTGGTTCGTCATGTGGGGCGACGTGCTGCTCGGCCACGGGGATGTGGTGCACGCTTGTCACATAGTGAGTCACCAAAAACCGCCACACAGCGTCGCCAAAGTGCGAATCACAGTCAACGCAAGTATCCGCTCAACGCCAATTTCTACACCACCTCCTGACTTTGCGTTGATTAGCACTGGAACCAACACTGGTTTCGCGATGATAAATCTGGACGTGTGCGCCGATTTTGGCGTACGCAAGGTTTTCTTGCGCCGCAAGCGTTGATACATAAGGCCCCAGATGAGTTAGTTACTTTAAGCCTACATGCGGATATTACAATATTCAGTTTTGTGAGCCAAAATTATTTTATATGCCAACATCTATGAAAGAAAGAGCCAGGCCACGGAGCGCAATGCGTCATTTACGCACAGATGGTTCCGATTTTAATGCCATTTTTGGAGTTAATGTTGTGATCTGTGTGCTCAACCCACCTTTGTCACGTGAGGTTTGAATATATGCAACTTTATGTGAGTGTCTTTATTTGTGGAAAAATGTGTTTGTCTTACCAGTGGGTCCAACATTACACACACCAAATCCATCTGTGCTCAGATGAGAGAGTGTGGAGGACGCCCAATGCAGCGCTTACAGTGACACTTGTTGAGGAGCTGCCTTCTGTCGCCATCTTGTGGCATTGCTGTCTTCAGACATCTCTTGATCTCTTTGACTACTTCCCAAAAATTGTACTACACCTCGCAGGTGGCGGATTTAAAGGCAAGGAGAGGAGCTTATGTGATTGGTGAAAACAGGTCATGGCTGTGTTAAACCCACTCCACACCCTCTCTCCTCCCTTCCTACGACTTACGCCGCTGGGAGGAGCTGAGTTAGGGAGGGGGGATACTTACGCCGGGCTGCGCCGCTCACCAAAATACCAAATTGTGCTTGGGAACGCCTTGTCGCCTGCGGCACGTCTCCAGCGAGGCACGAAAATAGAGCCCATAGAGTACATAAGAGGCTGTACCATTTTTCTTTTATTTTTATTTTTCTTTTTTAGGGGGGCATTTTTAAAGTCACCTTTTTGACACTTGTTTTGTTCATTAAATGTGCATATTTTACCCCCATTGTGAGGGTAATGAGAAGACTATATATTTTTTAGTCTGGAGACCTTTTCATATGGATTTCTTGATCCCAGAAATGTACACTTTGACACTAATGTTAATATTATAGCTCTCACAGAAGCGAAAATATGGGGTCTGGTGTAATAGTGGTGTATTGTCGGTGGTCATTTTTTGAAATGTCTATAAAATAGATGAAGGGTGATCTAACTTGTCTCTTTGAATAAAATGTTTCCTATGGCCCTAAGGTACTTCCATGCCAAAGGAACAGTAAATCTCAGTTTAGGGGGAGGGGTGGGGGGGTAAGTTACCCTGTCAAAACGTACATTTTTTCATGAAATTAGCATATTTTACCTCCCACTGTCATGGTAATTAATGAAGCATTGGGTTTTTTACATTGAAACCTATTTAATTGAATGTCTAGACCCCAAAAATGTGCACTTTGACACTGTCATGACCCGGCTCAAAGGCCATGAAAAAGATTGCGAGGCGTACGGGTTTAAACTTAAAACGGAAGATTTATTAACAACAAAGATTAAGTAAATAATTGAATACCCAAGAAAAGAACTAAACTAACAAAGCTTCTAAACTAAAACAAAACATTGTGCCACGAGGATCACTGCCGTGGTGCGCAGCGGAGGAGGGAGAGAGATACACTGATCCTTGATGAGGGCTTTTAACACCTGGTGGAATGGCCAGATCCACGCAGGTGTGGCCAAGCCCACTCACCAACCTGCCAGGGAGAGAGAAAAGACAAAGAACAACAGCAAACCCTGGAGGCCGGAGGCCATCACAGGCAGGAGGCCGTCACACCCCCCTCCATAAAAACGGGGCTCCCATCCCCGGAACCATAAACAATCCCTCTGAAAACAAGTTTCACTTGTAACTTACTAGTTGATTGCAAAACAAGAGAAAAACATTTAACATTTTTTTTTTTTTTTTCATTATTATCAATACTATGTACTTAACCATTACTTTACAAAACTTACCCAGGCTCACAATATCATTTTACTCTCTTCAAGAAAACTTACCCAATGCTCATTATTTATATCCCCATCCTGACCTGCATGACACCCCTCCCACCTCAGCAACCTGGTACCTAGGAGCAATTTAAGAGGGGGGAAACGAGGGAAACAAGTTGCAGAAAGAGTACAAAAAAACAAAAAACATGGGTAACTCACACGGCTACAACACTACACAGGTGCTCTGGACAAGGCGTCTGCCACCACATTGTCAGAGCCCTTGATGTGTCTAATGTCCAGCCAGTGCGACTGGAGATAAAGTGACCACCGGACTAATCTTTGATTTGGACACTGTAACGTATTTAAAAAAACAAGCGGATTATGATCAGTATAAACCACGATAGGCACCAACCCGGACCCCAGATACACATCATAATGTTTCAGAGCCCACACTAAGGCCAAGGCTTCCTTTTCAATGGTCGAGTAATTGAGTTGGTAGGAATTAAACTTTTTTGAGAAGAAACTCACTGGCTTCTCAATCCGAAAATCATCCTTCTGTAATAACACCGCCCCCACCCCCACGTGACTCGCGTCAACCTGAAGCGCAAACGGACGGTCAAACCTGGGGGCAGAAAGGATAGGCGTGTTACACAATACTGATTTTGCCCTGTCAAACGCCAGTTGACACACGGGAGACCACACAAAGACCGCGCTTGCCTTTAACAAGTCGGTTAATGGAGCAACTACCTCCGAGAAGTTTCTGCAGAAACATCGGTAATAACCTACAAGACCTAAAAAACGCATAAGCTCTTATTTAGTCGAGGGTACCGGATAACTTGCCACTGCTTTTATTTTTTCTTCAACAGGACGTACCGTACCCTGCCCCACAACCCTACCAAGATAAGTCACTGTCGCTTTGGCGAACTCGCATTTGGCGAGGTTGACGGTGAGACGTGCCTCAGCCAAACGACTAAATAACTTCTCAATTCGCTCAACATGCGAAGACCACGTGTCAGAAACAACCACAACATCATCCAGGTAGACTGTGCAGCCCTCCAAATCTCCTAAGACTCTAATCATAAGCCTTTGGAAGGTTGAAGGGGCATTACGAAGCCCAAAAGGCATTACCTTATATGAAAACAAACCAGTCGGAGTGATAAATGCCGATAACTCACGCGCACGCTTGGACAAAGGGACTTGCCAATAACCTTTCAAAAGGTCAAACTTGCTCACATATTTGGCATGGCCCACCTGATCGACACAGTCCTCCATACGGGGAAGAGGGAAGGAATCCGGCTTTGTAACAGCGTTTAATTTTCTAAAATCAGAACAAAACCTGGGCGTGTTATCTGATTTTGGAACCAAAAGGCAAGGCGACGCCCAACTTGAAGAGGAGGGTTCAGCTATTCCGTTTTCAATCATATATTTTATTTCAGCATCCATGTATTTACGTTTTTCGGGGTTCACCCTATAGAATCTTTGCCTGATTGGCTGCGCATCTCCAACATCGATGTCGTGCTCAATCAAGTGTGTCCGTGTGGGTGCGTCACTGAACAAGCCCGGGAAAGATTTTATTACCCGACACAAATCTGCCTGTTCTGACTCTGCTAAATGCCCCAAGAGGACGTGTAAATTCCTCAGGGACTCCGAGTTGTTTAGGCGGCCTTGAAGGACAGCGGTATCAACACACGGCAAGCCATCCTCCACCTCAGCGGACACCGACTGTGGGGGATAAACAGTGGACACTCTCCCCACCAAACAAGCGGGATGCGCACCAGCTGGGACAGGCTCTTGAGAAGCACCTGAAACACGAGCATAATATGGTTTTAACAAATTCAAATGGCACAGTTGGACTTTTCGCCTTAGCTCAGGTGTCGAAATAAGGTAATTGTTTTCCGATACTTTTTTCGTCACTTTATAAGGCCCCGAATACTTAGCCTGAAGTGGCGAATTCACCAGCGGCAACAAAGCTAAAACTTGGTCTCCCATACTAAAAACACGGTGTTCAACACGCCGGTCATAGAGACTTTTCATTTTCTCCTGAGCTGCGGTTAAGTTTTCCTTTGCCAATTCACCAGCAGCATACAGTCTATGACGGAACCCATTTACATAGTCTATAAGATTTTTCGGTGCATCTGCAACCTTCCACTCATCGTAAAGAACCTTCAGTGGCCCACGCACAACGTGACCAAACACTAACTCATTGGGACTGAAACCAGTGCTCTCCTGCCTCTCTGGCCGCCAGCATTAACCATGGTAATCCTTCCTCCCAATCTCTATCAAACTGAACGCAATAAGAGCGCAGCAATGATTTTAATGATTGATGGAAACGCTCCAAAGCTCCCTGACTCTGAGGATGATAAGCAGAGGCTTTGTTGTGCTTAATATGGAGCTGTTTCAACACTTGAGCAAAGAGATTGGAGGTAAAATTTGATCCTTGATCAGACTGGATCACTTTTGGAATGCCGAAAATGGAAATGAATTGTGACAGCGCGCGCACTACTGAACGCGCAGTGATCGTGCGCAATGGATACGCTGCAGGGTAACGGGTGCTTTGGCACATGACAGTCAACAAATATACCGCACCAGAACGAGAGCGAGGGAGTGGCCCGACACAATCAACGATGAGGTGATCAAACGGCTGACTTACTGCAGGAATCGGGAGCAGAGGAGCAGGTGTAATTTTCTGATTCGGTTTTCCCGTGAGTTGACAGGTGTGACATGTTTTAATATAAGACGCTACATCTGTCTTAAGTCGCGGCCAAAAGAACTGCCTCAGGACCCGGTCGTATGTTTTTCCCACTCCCCAGTGTCCCGATTGGTCATGAGCAAGTTTTAACACCGACTCCCGGAATTTATCAGGCACAACGACTTGAATAACGGGATCTCCAACGAAATCTTTCCCATGAGGCATCCATTTCCGGACCAACAGTTCATTGTGTAAAAAATAACCCCAGGAATTATTTTTTACCTCGTCTTCAGGCAACACCATGTCAAACAACCCTTTCAAAGAGGAATCTGCCCGCTGCTCCAACTTCAACTCCTCCTGCGAAACCGAGAGAGGGACATCAGACAGAGAAAACGGCACAAACTTGGATTTCTCACCTCTACTCTTTGCAGCCTCCGAGCTTAACTCGGGAGTGTCACGTGTCATTGAGCGAGTGACTGCACACGCTGTAAAAACTTCAGGAAGACTGCTCTGATTCTCATCTGGTTGTCTTTTCACCAGCGGAACAACAGATACTACTGGTGGCGGCGGAGCTGGAGCATCAGCCCAGACACGTCCACCTGCTACACCGTTACCCAAAATCAGGGTGATGCCCTCAATTGGAAGCGCAGGTCGCACACCGACCGTTATCTGCCCCTGAAAGAGATCGGAATAAAGCAACATCTTGTGCAGTGGAACTTTCATGACAGTCATTCCCATTCCAACCACCGGAATAAAACTCCCAGTGTGACTTTTTTCAGAGAATGGCAACACAGAAGCCTGAATGAACGAATCAAAGGCAGCTGTATCACGCAATATTTTGACAGGAACTTTTTCATCACTTCCCACCAAAGAGACATGACCATTTGAGACAAAAGGCAAGAATGATTCGAGCTCTCCAGGTACAGCTTTACCCTTGTCACAGATTCCCAACTGCCCCGTAAGTATTCTTGGCTTCGAAACAGCGAGACATGCCGCTTTAGGCTGCCCCGCAGCTCCACTCTGTTTGTTTTTAGATTGTAGTGCAAAACAGTCCACTTTAAAATGTCCTCTTTTGTGACAGTAGTTACATATTTTGTCCGACTTGCTCGCCTCATGGCCTTTAAAGTCTATCTTCCCTACAGGAAGATTGTAACTCCCCGCACCGGCATCCATGCGCTCACTCAAACTGGACCTGTGAGCGCGCATCTCTCCAAAGGAGCGTCTGTGCGCTAACACATACTCATCAGCGAGCCTAGCGGCTTTATTTACATTTTCGACATCGTGATCATTAATGTGCTGTGCAATATTCTCTGGAAGAGAACTTTTAAATTGCTCCAAAATTACCAGGTCGCATAAATCCTCAAAGCTCTCGATTTTTAACGCGGAACACCATCGCGTAAAGTGACAAATTAAATCCCGAGCAAACTCTAAGTATGTTTGTTTATCATTCTTTTTCCATGAACGAAAACGTTGGCGATAGGCTTCAGGGACAAGCTCATAAACTTTTAATACAGCAGATTTTACTAATTGGTGATTTTGGCTGTCTGATGCGGACAGGGCTGAATAGGCTTCTTGTGCTCTGCCGGTCAGCGCGCACTGCAACATTAACGTAAAAACAGATTCCGGCCACTTTCTGGACTCGGCAACGCGCTCAAATAACGAAAAAAATGTCTCCGGTTCTCTCTCATTAAATTTTGGCAACAGTCTCAAATTTCCCAAAACATCAAAACCATCAGGAGAACACGAGGAGGCATCCAAACCCGCAGAACCATCTCCGACTAACCTACCGCTTTTAATTAAATCCATCTGATTCTGCTGTAGTTGGAGTTTTGTCTGCTCAGTTTGAAATCGCAACCTCTCAATAGCCAACTGCGTATCCGTTTCCACTTGTTTTAATTTATCACGCTCTAATTGCAACATCATCATTTCTTTTTGCTGCTCAAAGGTGAAATTCTTCGCTGCAACAGATGGAGAATCAACTGCACCGGGAGGATCGGTCGCCATAACACCCATCTCATCCAAATTTGCTTTTAAAATACTTTTAATTGTGTCCTTTAACCGCCTGTCGGATATTTCGATTTCAAAATGATCTGCAATCTTAAGCAGCTGTTCCTTGGTGCATTTATTTAATAACTCGCTCGAAGGAGCCGCAACGAAGTCAGAAATATCCGACATTTCAATCACTCGCGGTTTCAAATCACAAGAAATTTACTTACTCAACTACCTCGCGCACATCAGGTGTTATCCAACACCACAGAAATACCTACCGAGCTGCTTACGAAACAAAAAAGGTTGAGACACCCCGAACCCTTAACTACCTACCCCATATCTTACTAGGACCTCATCCTAGTCTTCACTGGCGTGCCGAGCTCGAAACGTCACCAGACCCAAAATAACACCCCCGACCATGGCACGGTAGAGCGTGATATCCCGAGCCTTGCGCGCTCCCTCCTCAGGATTTGCCAGCAAAAACAACAAACTAAAACAAAAAAGTGACAAGTCCTGCTTGTCCGACGGCTAAACTCATCAGGGTGCTCAAAACATACAAACAAAAACAAAACCGACAAAATACCAACATAGCAGCTACGGCAAATAAACAAAATTATTATTATTATTTTAATCGTGAAACAATTTTTTAAACCCCGTATCACCCCACGTAAAAGTGCCAAACCTGTTTCACAAAGCACAACCTCTGGGTTCCGAAACCTCTGAGTAGTAAGAGCGGTGACGTCACTAATTCACAACTTACTAAGTTCATTCACAAATTGAGTGAATCAACACCTACCGAGGTGAAAAACGCAACAAACGGACGAGCCCCCATTTTGTCATGACCCGGCTCAAAGGCCATGAAAAAGATTGCGAGGCGTACGGGTTTAAACTTAAAACGGAAGATTTATTAACAACAAAGATTAAGTAAATAATTGAATACCCAAGAAAAGAACTAAACTAACAAAGCTTCTAAACTAAAACAAAACATTGTGCCACGAGGATCACTGCCGTGGTGCGCAGCGGAGGAGGGAGAGAGATACACTGATCCTTGATGAGGGCTTTTAACACCTGGTGGAATGGCCAGATCCACGCAGGTGTGGCCAAGCCCACTCACCAACCTGCCAGGGAGAGAGAAAAGACAAAGAACAACAGCAAACCCTGGAGGCCGGAGGCCATCACAGGCAGGAGGCCGTCACAACACCAATATTATGATTATAGCTCCAACAGAAGAAAAGATAGGGGTCTGGTGTATTTGCGGTTTATTGTCGGCGGCCATTTTTAAAATGGCTATTAAAAAAATTTAAAGGGTGATCTAACTTGTCTCTTTGGATAAAATGTTTTCTCTGACCCTAAGTTACTTCCATACCGAAGGGGATATTTGTATCATGACTTGAAGTTAACAGCTTATTTTTTGGGCATAGGGACTCCACTATATTATCCAGATGTACAACTAGGTATTTATATGATGTCACCACTTCGGTGTCCACTCTACAGGTGTTCACTGGCTGAAGAGGGGGTTTGGATCTATGAAAGTCAATGACCATCTCCTTTGGCTTTGAGGTGTTGAGGAGGAGGCAGTTTTTGTGACTCCAGTCACTGAAGGCTCTTATCAGATCTCTGTATTCAGCTTCTTGTCCATTTCTGATACATGCCACAATAGCTGTGTCATCTGAGTATTTCTGGATGTGGCAGGACTCAGGGCTGTATTTGAAGTCTGACGTATACATTGTGAACAGGAATGGCGCCAGCACTGTCCCTTGTGGAGCCCCTGTACTGCTCATTAATGCCCCTGAAACACAGTTCCCCAGCCTGACAAATTGTGGCCTTCCTGTCAAGTAATCTGTGATCCAGGAAACACAGGAAGGATCCACTCCCATCTCTGTGATCTTGTCTTTGAATATGGTAGATTGAATGGTGTTGAATGCACTTGAAAAGTCAAAGAACATGATCCTCACATAGACCAGCATTATCCACTCCAATGTGTTCTTTGTATGCAAACTGCAGGGAATCCAGTTTGTCTTTGACCTCAGACCTCAGAAGACTCAGAATCAGCCACTCCAGGATTTTCATGATGTGTGAAGTGAGGGCCACTGGTCTGTAGTCATTGAGTTCAGCAGGACATTTTGTTTTTGGTACTGGCACAATGCAGGATGTTTTCCACAGAGTAGGTACCCGCCCCAGCTATAGAATCAGGTTGAAGATCTTGTGGAGAGGTTGACACAGTTCTACAGCACAGTCTCTAAACAGCCTTGGACACACACCATCTGGACCAGCTGCCTTCCCAGGACAACATCTTCCAAGCTCCATCCTCACCCCTGTTTCGGTGACAGGCAAGGAGTGGTGTTCTAGTAGGAAGGCAGTTGAAGTGGTTGAGACATTTAAACAAGATGGAGGAGGAACAGGAGAAGTTGTAGTGGAGATTTGTTGCGGAGAGGAAGGTGGAGTAGCAGTGGAAGTGGGTATGACAGCAGTGTCAAATCTGTTGAAAAACAGGTTGGGTTCATCAGCTCTTTCCAAATCACCCACCACTGGCTGTCTTTTCTTTTTATTGCTGTGTCCAGAGATGGTACTAATTCCTCTCCACACTTCACGGATATTGCTGCGTTGTAGATTCTTCTCTATCTTCTTTTTGTACTCCAGCTTTGCCATCTTCAGTCTCCTCTTCAACTCGTGTTGCACTTGTTTGAGTCGTTCTTTGTCACCATCTTTAAAAGCTTTCTTAATCAGTAAAGCAGTCAACCTGTCTGTCAATGTTCATACTATCCACATGTGTTTCCAGCAGCACATTCCAGTCTGTTGATTTAAAACAGTCCCTTAGAGCTTCACTGGCTTGAGGTGTCCATCTTCTGATTTTGACTTTGGTCACAGGCTGCCTCAGTACACAAGGTCTGTTACAGGTTTGCAGATAGATGTTATGATCTGACTTGCCAAGTGGTGGCTCTGTAGGCTTCTTTGACATTGGCATACAGAAGATCCAGGGTTTTGTTTCCTCTGGCTGGACAGTTCACAATTTGTGTGAATCCAGTCAGGTGAGAGGAGAGGGTGATATGGTTGAAGTCTCCCGATATTATTATTTGTGCCTCTGGGTGTTGAGTCTGTAGCCTGGCAACACTATTTTGCAAAACTTGGCACAGAATTTCTTCAGTTGATTTGGGTGGGGTGTAAACAACTATTGTTATGATATGACTGAATTCTCTTGGAACTTTGGCCCCTATCTCCTCCCACAAACTTTGAGCTACAGAAACCATTCAGGGCTCCAAAAATTCAGCTCATTGTGGACATTATGGGGTAAATTTAGGATTTTGTGAATTAATTGTATCAATATGTTCAGCAGAGTTGTGGCGTTCTCACAAGTTTCTTGTCATGAATGTAGCCGTTACAGAGA